AAAAAAAAAAAAAAAAAAAAAATAAATAAATAAATAAAATAAATAAATAAATAAAAGGAAAAAAAAAAGAATAACTTACTTGTACAAGACATCTTTTACAGAAATGATTAGCAACAAGAGATTTAGCTGCCCATCTAGCTGCATATGCAGCAGATCTATCTACTTTAGTACTATCTTTACCACTAAATGCTCCTCCTCCATGGGCCCCCCAACCTCCATAAGTATCAATAATTATTTTTCTTCCTGTTAGTCCTGCATCCCCATGGGGGCCCCCTATAACAAATCTACCTGATGGATTTAATAGATATATTGTATCTTTATCTAAATAATTACTAGGTACTACTGGCTTTATTACCTTATTTATTATATCTTCTCTTAATTTATTGTTATCTACCTCTGGTGAATGTTGTGTAGATATTACTATTGTATGTACACGTATAGGTATAGGTACACCACTACTATTGTCATACTCTACTGTTACCTGCATGCACACACATACATTATTTATTTATTTATTTATTTATTTTATTTATTTTATTTATTTTATTTATTTTATTTATTTATTTGTATGTTTGTTTGTTTATTGTTTGGTGTTATTATTGTATATATATTAGTTATTATGTTATATAATATAAATATATACTATAAATAAGCATAATAAATAAAATAAATAAATAAAATAAATAAAATAAATAAAATAAATAAATAAAATAAATAAAATAAATAAATAGACTTACTTGTGTTTTACCATCTGGTCTAATATAAGGAAGAAGACCTGTCTTTCTTACATCTGTTAATCTTTTACCTAAACTTGTTGCTAATGAATGACTTAATGGCATCAATTCAGGTGTCTCGTCACATGCATAACCAAACATATGACCCTACAACGAACAACAAAAGCAGCAACAGCAGCAGCAACAGCAACAGCAGCAACAGCAACAGCAGCAACAGCAGCAGCAGCAGCAGCAGGAGGAGAAGGAGTATGAGTAGAGCAGGAGAAGGAGGGGAAGGAATAGATAAAGGGATTAATAGATACAAGCAAATTGATATAAATAAACAATAAATTAATTAATTAATTAATTAATTAAATTAAATAAATAAAATAAATAAATAAATAGGTTACCTGGTCTCCTGCTCCAATTTCTTCAATATTTTTATTAATATGCACTGCATGCGCTATCTCGGGGCTTTGATCTTCTATAGCAACAACAACCTTCATTGTCTTATAATCTAATCCTTTAGATTCATCATCATAACCTATATCCTGCAGCAGCAGCAGCAGCAGCAGCAGCAGCAGCAACAGCAACAGCAACAGCAGCAACAGATGATGATGATGATAAGGATGATGATGATATACTATAGTGCTTATTAGGGTTTATTAGGGTTTAGGGTTTAGAAGGATAAACCCTCTATGTTTCTCCTATATATATTATTGATTATACATAAATCAATCTATTTGTTTATTAGTGTTTATTAGGGTTTATAATAGAGGGTTTATAAAGGTTTATTAGGGTTTATAAGGATCTATTAGGGTTTAGGGTTTATAAGGGTTTAGTAGGGTTTATTACCCTGAAGGTCTCCTCCCTCAATCAATTTATACCAATTAGTATTTATAAGGGTTTATTAATGTTTATAATATATGGGTTATAAGGGTTTATAAGGGCTAATTAAGGTTTAGGGTTTATAAGGGTTTATTAGGGTTTATTAGGGTTTATTAGGGTTTATTAGGGTTTAGGGTTTACCCTGCAAGTCTCTCGGATAATTTTCTCATAATCAACACTTGCATTGGTTGTAATTTCTCCAAAGATCATCACCATTCCTGTTTTTGTGCAGGTCTCGCATGCTACCTAGGAGAGGAAAAAAGAAGAAAAAAAAAATATTAATTTGTATAATTATAATGAATATTATGTATTATTATGTAAATATAAATAAATTAAATCATTAAATTTATATTTAATCAAATATTTAATGGAGAATTAATAGCTGGATGGACATAACATCGTCATCGATGGCTTGCTTCCTTTCTTGAATAAAGAGGAAACTTATTGAATAAAAAGGGAATAATGGCTAAAAATAGACCGCTAAAAAGGAATTATTTTGTATTTTATTCTTCTTACTTTACTATTTGGATCTTCTCTTAAACAAGCGTCAAGAATTGCGTCAGAAACTTGATCACATAATTTGTCTGGATGTCCTTCATTAACGCTTTCCGAGGTAAATAGGAATCTACCTGGGGTAGTAACGATAGGTCTAGTCGACATTTTCAGAGAAATTATAAAAAAAAGAGAAAAAAATCCAAAGAATTCAATAAATAGAAGAAGAAAAGAAAGAAATACTCCTGCAAACAGAAGAAAAAATGAACAAAAAACAACAAAAAACGTCAAACAGCCACAGAAGGAAAATGAAGTTGCACAGCCATCGAGCTGCGGTGTACAGACAGCTGACGAAGGCGCTATAATCGTTATAAGATCAGCACCATTTATTGAGGAAAAAAGAAGAAATAAAGCCCATCTTTGTATAAATAATGAATAATTTAAACAATTAATAATTAACAATAAAAAAAATTAAGAAAAAATATGGATTCATCAAAGAAAATACATTCATGTTTCTATAGTACAGGCCCGTGAATCACCACCAACTCGCCAAGTGTATGAGACAGAAAAAGAAAGAATTTCGCGATATCTTCTAATAATCTATGGGAATAAAATATAAATAAAAAGTAAATAAAGAAGAAAAAAAGAAAAAAAAACAATTCCCTTCTTCCCCTCACCATACAAGCCTGCGGGGTGTAGGGAAGTAGCAGAAGGGCCGTATTGAATATAATATGAATAAGAGAAAGAAGAGAGGGAAAGAAAAAGGATAAAAAGATTGATAAAAAGAAGAAAAAAGAATAAATAAATAGAAAATAACAGACAGGATATAAATACAAATAATTTATATATATTTATTCTTTATTTACCTGGGCCGACAAAGAAGGAGGAAATCAACAACAGGGGCAGCTGCGGGGAAGAAGAAAATATTCTTTTTTTTCTTTATTTTGCCGCATGCATAAAGCCCTTTTATATAAAATAATTAAATAAAAGAAGAAAAACATAAACACAAAACATTTCATCATCAATTCTTCTCTTCTTTAAATACCTGCGTGGGGCTGTTATATCGGGGCTGTCTGCAACAACAGCAGCAGCAGCAGCAGCAGCAGCAGCAGCAGCAGCAGCAGCAGCGGCCGGTATACACCGGTGGCCCATTTTGTTGCCTTAATAGGTAAGAAGTAATTAAGGGACTTTCTTCTTCTTTTATTACTATATAAAAGTACTATAAGAATTAAATAAATAATATATATAATAATTGGGGTGTATATACACCTGCTGCAGCAGCAAGACCTAATAGACCCTCTCTCTTCTCGGCCCCACACTTTTCTTCTTTTTATTTATTTTTCTTTCTTCTTCTTCTCCCCTATAAATAAATATATTTAATTTATTTTCTTGTATTTGTTTATACACAAATAAACATATATATACTATCTATAGTAAATATAAGAACAGTTAACAACTATATAATAATTAATATTTATATATTTATTTATTTATTTATTTATTTATTTATTTATTTATTTATTTATTTATTATATTTTTTATTAATAAAAGAGACACTGTAGCTAATAAGCAGCAAAGAATAAATATAAATAATAAATGATTATTTTATTGCATATACACCTAAATAAATATATATAATTAATTAATAATTATTTAATAAAAAACATTAATTAATAATTAAATAAATAAATAAATAAAAGAAAGGAAAAGAAAGATAATTAGTTAATTATTCTTTTCTCTTTTTTTATTCTTCTTATATACAGTAAAATAATAGATAATATATAAAGGGACACAAATATATATATATTTATTTATTTATTTATTTATTTATTTATTTATTTATTTATTTATTTTATTTTATTTATTTTATTTATTTTATTTATTTGTTTTATTTATTTTTTATGTATACTTATTTGTATAAAAAAAAAAGAACATTTATTTATTGCATGAATTGTTGCTCTCTTCTTACCTCTTAGTAATAAATAAATAGAATAGTGTCTGGCTATACAGATGCCCCTGCTGCTGCTGCTGCTGCTGCTGCTGCTGCTGCTGCTGCTGCTACCTGCTACTAGCCAACACTGTTAGTACTGTACTATTTTCCCTGCATGCGGGTAGCCAACATAAATAACAGCAAAAAGGTAATTATTATTATTATTATTATTATTTATTAGTATTATTTTTATTAATTATTTTTATTACTATTATTATTATTTATTATTATTATTTATTATTATTATTTATTATTATTATTTATTATTATTATTTATATTTATTACTAATATAATAAGAAGGTACATAACCTTAATGGGCACAAACATGCATAAGATAATATCCTCTCTTCCTCTCCTTTTCTTTATATATAATAATAATAATAATAATAATAATATATACATAAATATTTAATTATATTTAATAAATATTTAATTAATTTTATTTCTTCCTTTTTTTTCCTTCTCTTAGCCATTTAACGTAATATTCTTCCCCTTTTTCTCCTTTTTTCTCCTTTTTCTCCTTTTTTTCTCCTTTTTTTCTCCTTTTTCCCCTTTTTCCCTTGTCTCCTCCCCTCGATAAGGAGACAAATAAATAAATATTTATAATAAAATATCTTATTAATAAAAAAGAAGAATTCATTTGTTGTTATAAATTTTTATTTATATCTTTATTAGGGGAGGAGAAAGGAGGAGAGATAAATAATATATTCTTATACAATCTTCCTTATTAATTCTTTCTATTATACTAACAAAAATAATATAATAATGAATATAAAAAGGAAAAAAGAATTAATAATTGGCCTCTTACTGTCTATTCAGCTCGGGTGTATATCCATCTACCTGCCGGTATGCCGTCTATTAAGAGACATTAATTAATTATTAATTTATTTATTTACTTATTTATGTTGTGTTTGTATAGTATACAAAAGGCTGCTTCCTCTGACTATTTGGTGGTGTATCTTATAGTAAGGATTAATGCGACGAATACCTATTGAACTTAATTACTCCTTTTTTGCCCCTTTTGTTTCCCCTTGTCTTTTTATTCTTCGTAAGGAGGTAGGAAGACAGAGAGGGGAATATTAGCACCTCTTTGTTGAATTATAATATGTTTATTCTTTCCTTTTATTACTCCTTAAGACGGCCATTTATACTGCTTGTGTGACGGTCACCACTGTTGTATGCTCCTTTCTATGCTAATAGGATGCAGGAGGAGGTCGTGCTGCGGCAATAAAGTAATAAAAAAAATAAAGTTAATCAATGATTTATGCAATAATCTAATGAATTAAGTCTATTTATTTCTTACTGCTAGTCCGAGGAGCAGATCTTTGCTCCTTGTGGCGCCGCTATTGACGATACGTAACACTGTTTATAGGGGAGGATAGAGGGAGTAGACATGGTACAAAAGAGTATAGTTTTATGTGATTCTTTGTGTTGTTACTGACAGGAAAAGAAAACATGAAACAAATAAACAAATACTATAATGGCGATGATATACATGAGGGTGTTCCTGCCTTTGAATCACTGACATCGTGGGGTGTATATTCAGCTTTCCGCACTCTTGATTACCGGTGGTCGGTGCTGGTTCGTTCAAGTTAGCGTGGATATTTTTGCTTGGCATTGTTTTGTTTATTTGCATTATTATTAATTATGCAATGATTATTATTTCTTTCTTTTTCCCCTCCATTGACTTATTTGCTGAAGGAAACACGGCAGCGCAGATGAACCTCTGCTGATATCGGCGCCACCGTAGGGTTGGATTAGGCGCCGTTTATCTGGTTTTGTCGGTTCTTTGAGTTTTTTTACCTTTTATTTTTCATTTATTTATGATTTATTTTCTGATTTTGGCTGAGATCGCCAAAAAGAGCCGACGAACCCCTCCGTTTTCCTCTTTGTAGTCGAGTGTTTTTCGGCTGCGCTGGGGGGTGACTGATTGTTTGCTCCTCTTTTGCATAAATCTTCTTCTTTGACTAATTTTTATTTTTTTTCCGATATTTTATTCCTTTTTTGTCATATTAAGCAGGTTATGCGCCTTTTTTTCCTCTTTTGGTTTCTGTACGCTACGGCAAAACGCCTTAGCGTGCATTGCAAGAAAACGCCTACCACCTCACCGTCACCACCATAACTTGAATACGAATTCTTTTCGTTTTTTTTTTCCTTTATTTCCCCATGACGAATCCTTCTTCTTCTCCCTCTCCCTCTCTTTCTCCTCCTCCGCCTCCTCCTCCTCCATCTCCCCCTTCTAATGGTGAAGGAGAAGAGGAAATACCAATAGAGGAGGTAAAAAAGAGTAATGACGTACGTGAGTATGCGGATCCATCAGAAGATAATAAAGGAGATGCATCATGGATATGTCCATATATGAATTCTCCTTCTTCTCTTCGTCTTTCTTTGCATGTATTTCCTAAGAAAATTCATGCAGGACATTCAGTTATAGATTGCCGCCTATTTGGTAGAAATCGCGTAAAAATGTGCAAATGGAATGGATGGGGATATGCAGATACTTATGTATCCATGTCTAGCTCCTCTATGATTAGACTACATGGTAATAGGTAAGCAGCAGCATCAGCAGCAGCAGCAGCAGCAACAGCAGCAGCAGCAGCAGAGAGAGGGAGAGTTTCTATGTGTTAGCACTACGAACCTTGTATATATTTGCTGCTCTTTTTTGCTGCTTCTGTTGCATCATAAGGAGATTATCTACATAAGCCTACTCTTACTGTTCCTACTGCTGCTGCTGTTGCTGCTGTTGCTGTTGCTGCTGCTGCTGCTGCTGCTGCTGCTGCTGTTGCTGCAGATATAGTTTATGTGGTGTAGATATGGGCCATTGGCATGAATTCATGGAGTCGATCCCCGGGATCGAGTTTACGTTCACCTCCCCTGCACAAAATATACTCAAGATACCCCCTAAGAAGAATTGGTCTCAGCAATTTATTGATGAATTAAAGAAAAGGGTAAATTATTATTCTCCTGTTGTTGCTCTTGCTGCTGTTGCTGCTGTTGCTGCTGCTGCTGCTGTTGCTGCTGCTGCTGATGATGGTAGTGGTGTTCTCTTGTTGTTTATATTGATTGTTTTCTTATAGGGATTTGTATATGTATATATATATATATATATAATATAT